GTCGCTAAGGTCACGACCAAAGATGGCATTGACATTCCTGTAGAAGTCAACTACGACAGTGAAGAGTACAAAGAAGAATTGAAACTCTCGGAACCGATCATTTGGGACATCACCCGTGAATTCCCTGAAGAAGCCCAAAAGATTGGTATGAACAAAGAGATGAAGTCCATGAAAGACTTCACGGTTTACACCGAGAAGCCAATTGAGGAGTGCACTGAAGAGCAAATCAGGAATGCCATTGGTGTCAAATGGGTCAAGAGATGGAAAACAGACACGGATTTGCGGATGAGATTGGTAGGCCAGGGATGCTATCAGGACGCACAGGCATTGGACTCAGACACACTGTTTGCGAGCACGCCGTCATTGGTCACGTTACGCATCATGCTGATCATGGCGTTGGCACGCAATTGGTGCATTAACCTTGCAGATGTGTCTACAGCATTCCTTCATGCGCCGATGACTGAAGACATTTTCATTTGGCCACCGGCTGAGTACTACCCCGATTTCAAGTGCCTGTGGAAATTGAACAAAGCTATGTATGGCCTGAAACAAAGCCCTCGACTGTGGCAAGAGCATTTTGCCAAGGTCATGGCTAAGCTAGGATTCAGACGATGCAAGTCTGACGGGAACTTGTATTGTCATTCGTCCAAGCAGCTGTATGTTTTGGCCTACGTAGATGACTTGCTGATTGTTGGAGATTCTGAGCAGTCGAAGTTGTTCATTGAAGCCTTAGGCAAAGAACTGTTGGTGAAGATCACTGGCTCATTGGAGCCTGGAACAGAACATTCGTTTCTCGGACGTCGCCTCAAGCACAACGGCGATTCGATCGACATGTTCATGTCGCAGGGTTACATTGAGGAACTGCTTAAGATCTACCAAATGGAATCGGCAAACAATGTCAACACCACTGGCACGACCGCGTTGAAACGCATGCAAGACGCAGACACGCCATTGGAGCCTGCTGAGCACGCTAAGTACCGAACCGCAGTAGGGAAATTGCTCTGGCTAGCTTTCGTTCGGCCGGATTGTTCTTACGCTGTCAAGGAACTCTCGCGTGACGTGAAGTCACCCACATTGGAAAGCTAAGCTGAAGCACTTGTTGAGGTACATTGTAGGCACGAAGCAGTCTGTTCTACGACTACGCCCGAGCCAAATGCTGGCCGCTTGGCGCTGTACCCTTGACGTTGCTTGCTATGTAGACAGCGATTGGGCAGGTTGTTCTCGCACGCGAAAGAGCACCAGCGGAAGCACGGTGCAGATTCTTGATTGCGATGTCATTCACTCCTCGAGGACGCAGGCCACTGTGGCATTGTCTTCTGGCGAGGCTGAACTTTACGCCATAGGCCAAGGAGTGAACGAGGCATTGTTCGTAAAGAATCTTGTCTTGGAAGCGGAGTTTGCGCGACGCGTGCAAATTGTTGCGTACACCGATTCTACTGCAGGTAAAAGCATGGCTACTAGATTTGGTGCAGGAAAGCGTACAAAGCACGTAGAATTACGCTACTTGTACATGCAAAATCTTGTACAGAGCGGATTGCTGCAAGTACGTAAGATAGGAACCAAGTTCAACCCGGCGGATGTATTGACCAAATACGTCTCCACTGAGACACTGCACAACCTCATCGGAAAGCTTGGATTGGTCAGGAGCCCACTTCGATATGGCTGAGCACTGGATCGAAAAAAAGAATTGTTTCACTTTTCCTTTGTTTCCCCGCCCACCCGACCCTTCTTGCCCGCGGCCTTACGGGGCTTGGGTCATTGCATTGCTCTTCCGGTCCTGTTTGAGGGACCGAGGAATTGAGGAATTGTGTCGTTTTCGCTTTGACCTCCGCGGTCTAAACTGGATTGCGTTGAGCTTTGAGAGAAAGAGAGAGAGAAGAACAGTGCTTTCTTGACAGTGCAGTGCATGTGCATTGGCATTGCGGTCATGAGCACGACATGTCAGTCACTGCAGTGTGCATTGTTCAGTCAGTCATGTTGTTTACTTTTATTGTGTTTAAGATGGACTTTATGAGCATCGCTCAACCGCCGTCAACGCAACGCGGTTAGGAGCGGACCGCCATTGAAACGACATTGGCAAACAGGGACCGTCAAAGCATAGCATTTGAACAAAGTGCTCCTTCTGACTGTCATTGTACATAAACCCCGAAATCCTGAAGTGATTTTCCGGTGAGCGGATGGCATGAAGAATTGATTTTCTGCAAATTTTGAAGCATTGGTCACGCTGAACTGTGGCTTACATCGCGTCACATTGCGATCACTCGTTCGATCCTTAGAGTCTGTTGCGCACTGTGTGCGGGAGACATTGGTCTGACAGTGTGTAGCTTGCATCAGCCATGGCCGACGCCCCGATGCCTCAGCAATTGGCATTGCCAGACGCTCAACTTGGAAGAGTTGAAAGAGAGAAAGGAAAGATTGATCCGCGACGCCACAATGGGAAACGGGAATCTTCAGCAGATGATTGTGGATTCCATTGGTTGGCTGCCGGACGAGCAGCTTTGCCAGTCCATTGCACGAAACGTTGCTCTGGACGTCCCAAGGGCGAAAACCGCACTGAAGAAATTGCGGATCATCGAGAAAGGGATTGGAACGATGCTCATCAATGCAGCGGATACCGGGAGTTTGACCAGCCTGGAACCCCTGGACATCAATCCACTGCGATTGGTGACACTGGATTGCCTTAAATCGAGCAGATGGCCCGACCCCCTTGGGTGTGGCCCCTCAGTGGCCATTGCCTGGGGATTGATGAGGATGAATGCCCAGGGTGGAAGGACATTGGGTCAGGTCACAAATTTCTCTCCGGATTGGCTGTGGCATGCCAACCAAGCCTTCCTGCCATTGAGTCTTCGCACGATGCTCATCAGCCACTGGCGGATTGTGCATGTGAACCCGGTTCCGACGATCCCGGATTCATTGGTCTCCTTTCCTTGCTTCATCGCATTGCCGAACACAGTTGCTATGCGATTGGTCGAGACAGGCAGGCTATTGGTCAGCGATTTTCCGTGCCAACAGGCAAATTCTTTCCTTTCAGTGGCACACAGCCTTTCGAAGCTCCTGATGTGGATTGATCAGATCCCAAGCATCAAGGCATTGCGAGATGAGAACTTGATGATCGTTGGCGTGAACCACGCAGTGGGAAGATTGCCAGTTGTGTTGAAGAACGCTGATGGCACTGGTGGTCTGAAGCATTGGCATAACCAAAGCTACTGCGGATTTGCCGAATGAGATTGAGATTGTCCTGACCCAGGAAGAAGTGAGCACATTGGTGGTCTTGGACACGCAGACCACATTGCGTGAGCTGACTGATGGTCTCCATTGGGACATGGTGCATTCTGGACAGCATTCCATCCACCGGCACATTGCGTTGCCGTCGAAGCTCAGCTTCCTATTGGGAGCAGGTCGCACAGCAGGACCCGGAGCCTCATTGCAGAGCACATTGGCAAGCCAGCGGAATGCTTTGAGTCGGAACAGCATTGGCAGCTCGGAAGTGACGATCATCGACGATGCTGGAAGCCGATTGCGAATCACCACGACGATCAACAAGATCGATTGAAGTGCAGTGGCGCTCAACAATTTTGTCTGGCCTGGAAAGATGAGATTGCATTTGATTGGTTCTTGCTTTGATGATTGGTTTTACAGTTGATGCTTTTCATTGGTGATGATGTGGTTTCTTCATTTGCTGCAGCTCATTGGACCCCGATTGGAAACTTTGCTGACCGTTTCTCAGGACCACCCCGTGTGGTGTATTGATTCGGATGCATTGGAGCATTCGGAACGCCAAAGAACTTTGCAGGTTTCGTTGCAAGTTCTCTTTTGAAGCGATTGCGGTTCGCTTACCAAGCAAAAGGACTGAACCGAGCCTCTGAGTGCAATGTTTACTGCTGAGCTGATTGGTAGTCGTTTGCAGTTGAGATTTTTTTCGATATACACCGTTGAGTAGTTGATTGAGTCTTTGTTTTACGAACTCATTTGAATTGTGACTTGAGAACAGCACAGACAACCATTGTCTCTGCTGAGGGACCGTGTTAGAATAGAAGGTCACAATTGGCATGCTCCCAGAGAGGCATTGATGCAGTGGCATGCTCAACATGAGCATTGACTCGATGCTTTGGCTCAAGGCGGCACAAATAAGATAGCTGAGTGAGTGATTGCATCAAGTGACTTTGCTGTGCATCTTGTGTACTCTGGATTGTGTGACCAAGCCAGTCTGTGAACACTGATCTTGTAAAATTTCATTAAGGGGGGGCTTAAGGGGGGGCTTAAGGGGGGCTTAAGGCTTAAGGGGGGGCTTAAGGGCTTTGACCCTTTGTCCGCCCCCCCCCCCCTTTGTCCCCCCCCCCCCCCCCCCGAAGAAACCCCTTTGCAGGGACCCCTTTGAAGGGGGGCTTAAGCCCCCTTTGCCCAAAGGGGGGGGCCCATTCTCACGAGTCGACTGCGACGACGAGCGACTGCGACGACGAGTCGACGACGACGACGACGAGTCAACGACGATGACGAGTCGACGACGACGAGAGCCTGACGAGGAGCACGACGAGCTGGCAAGCGCCTCCACGTCCACCCAGGAGACAAGGCAGCACTCGGAGAAAGATGACCAGCTGGGCGTGGGGGAACGCGGTGCTGAAGGCCTCTCTCTTGGAGGTCTTCGAAGCAATCGGAGAGCATATGTCCTTGTTTTCCAGCATGTTTGCCACTCGCACAACAGGTTCAACCACCTCTTCAACGCCTACGTAGGAACAAATCACAGGCCACATCAGATGTACGTTTTCGGCGCTACAGTCTTGACTTCAGGACCTCCAGTCAACCCGTGGAGGAATGGCGTCCGCGAAGCGATTTGCCATGAACAAGTCCGGTCCCGGCAGGATCGCCAATTGAGAATGCGATCCCCCATACCCGACTAGGAGGGGGAGGAATCCTTGCTCATACGGTCCCTGCCTCCAAGTTCGTACCCCTTTAACCTTCGCCACCGGAGAGGCGCCGAAGGCAATGCGCACAAAGTCCGAATGTCGGCTCGCCGTCGTCTCAGTTGCCAATCCGGTTTGATCTGGAGTTGCTTGACGTGCTTGGGAAGCGAGGAAGTTGGACCTGTGGAGCTTGAGGATTGCCTGCCGTGAAGGGAAGGAGCCATTGAATGTTGGAGTTCCAACGGACCAGGTTGACAATCCCGAGGGGTCGCTTGACATTGATGACGACATGGAAGTCGATGCATTATTCTTGCCGTCGTATGATTCGCTTGATCGCTTGCCTTGTCGAGTTTCCGAAGAGTTCCTTGATAAAATCGACAAAGCAAGCGTTTTCCAGAGCATTGAGGAGCATGGTTGGGTTAAGTTGAAGATGCGTGATCGTGTTGTGTACCTTCAACGTCCCTCTTTTGTGCGTGACGATGCCACGAATGAGAGCCTTGACCTCGATAAAGCCACCAAGGGATTGACAAAGGAGATTCGAGGACTTGATTCCTTGAAGGAGATCCCATCACCAAAGCCGAGGCCGATGAGTACTGCAAGACACACAAGATCAAGATCTTGTCCACGCGATGGGTGTCAGTTGGGAAGAAGGATGGTGAGACGAAGGAAGACATCGTTCGAGCGCGCGTTGTGGCGAGAGACTACGCTAGTGGGTCGCCCTCAGCAGCAGAGTTGAGTATCAGCAGCCCGACCTCTTCAAACGAGGCGTTTCGGATGTTCCTCATCTACACCTCGGCCAACAGTTGTGACCTTGTGCTTGTCACCGGAGTGTGTGATGCTTCCTCCCAAGTTTCCCTGACAACTCACGTGTGTTCTTGAAGCTGCGCAAAGCATTGTACGGCCTGAGAAGTGCGTCGTTGGCTTGGTACAAACACTTGAGTGAACTTGTGAAGGATATGGGACTAACCGCGTCGGATACAGAGAAGAGCGTGTGCTCTGGCGAGTACACGTTTAAAGGGAATAAGGTTTGGATGCTGCTACTTGCCTATGTTGATGACTTGATGATTGCCTGTCGAAATACCGAAGCAGCCCTTGATCTGGTGGAACAGCTAGGAAGGTTCGTGAAAGTGAAGCTGACTGGGGTGTTGAAGAAGGATCGCAAGGTCGGTTTCCTGGGCAGAACAATTGAGTTGAGTGATCATGGTCTGCTCTTGAGTTTGCCCGTTGATTACTTCCAGAGTGTGTCTATGAGGCATTTGGGATTAAGAAGCCGTCAGCAACACCCCCCGATCTTCGCAAGGTACTGGACGACCCGGATAGTCAGAGAGCCTTGAGTGCAGAAGCTGCGGCGCGATACCGATCCGCCGTAGGCAAAATCTCGTGGGCAGCTCAGACTCGCATTGATCTGACGTATTATATCAGCATTCTCTCAAGAGGTCAAAGTGAGCCCAAGAATGTACATGAAACTTGCCTTCGTTTGTTTTTGCGCTACTTGATGAGTGTCGACCATTTGAAGCAAGCCCTGGGAGCAGAGGAGAGCGCTGGAAGGGTGGAGGTGTACGTTGACTCGAATTGGGCCCCCGAACGGAATAACGATCGGAGGTCTTTGTCGGGGTGTGTTATCCTTGTCGACCGCTTCCCCGTGAAGGCGTTCTGTAGCTCTGTCCTCGGCAGAGGCAGAGCTCATGGCGCTGACCGAGGGGGCAAAGGAGGGAGTTGGTTTGACTTCCTTAGTGAGACATGTTTATGGGCCAGGGAGTTGTGAGTAGCCGCCCGCCGTCTACTCGGACTCACAGGCCGCCATAAACATAGGCTCTATGCAGGGCCTACTTCGTCGCGTGAGGCACATCGATCTGAGGGTTTGCTGGGTGCAATCTGCAATCCAGGAACGCCTAATCGCACTGTCCTGGGTGCAAGGGTCGAGAAATCCAGCGGACATCTTTACAAAGAGTCTGTCAAAGCCACAGGCGCATTTGGACAGACTAGGCATCTTTGAGCACTACCCACATACAGTTGCTGGAGCGAGTGTTCAGTTTGATATCGATGTCGGAAGGTTGTGTGCGTTGATGTGCCGTACAGTTGAGCCAGCAGTTTTGGAGAGATTGGGCGTCGAGCTTGATGAGGTTTGCTTGAGTAAGACTCGTTGGGTGGTGGTTGAGTTTTGCACCTCCGTTGATTCCAACATGCGACAGGCGGCGCAATGCGTTCCTGGTGTTGAGGTGATTTGCATCACGGAGGAGGAGAACGGACTTCAGGACGAGACGATCGCCCTAGTGCGATCCGCCATCGTGAGATATATTGAGTATGGCGTGCGAGTGTTGGTTTGGTCGTCTACTCTCTGCACGGGAGGTTGCTTGTACCAGAATTTGCATCGCAACAAGCCTGGGCATGATGCGTACTTGCGAAAGGTTTGGGGCGTGCAACGAAAGTTGTGGAAGAACTTTGGCGTGTTGGTTGGGAACATTGAAGATGAAGGAGGCACTTACACTCAGCCGTTCTTTGCAGTTGAGTGGCCCAAGACCTGCCAGTACTGGTCTTGGAAGGCCACGTTGAAGTTCTTTCGCGAGTGGAAGAAGACGATCATTACTACCCACGTTGACGGTTGTGCTGTTGGCATGGTTGATCAGCGTGGAACACTTGTGTACAAGCGTTGGCGTGTTGACACAGATTACGAGCCGCTTGCTGTTGTCTTAGACCGCTTGCGTTGCGATGGAACACACCAGCACAGTAATGACTTTGATCTGCGGAGCACTCAGCATTACCCCCCAGACATGTGTCTTCTGGTGTTGCGGTCGTTGGCGTGAGGCTTGTTGTTCTGCAAAAGACGTACTCGCCAAGCCGTTTGCCGCGCAATCGAGCCCAAGTTTTTTTTGCTAGTTGTAGAGCAAGCCTCGGTACTGTGGGCCTGGATGTCCTCGTTGGTTTGATGGCAGTGTCAGCAACAGTTGCCTCTTTGGTGACTTGGTGTCTTCTGCGAAGCAGCAGTCCCCGCAAGAGCAAGAGATCCTTCGCGACTCTTGCGCCAGAGAGCTCGGGATCAGAGACTGAAGAGGAAGAGGGGGTTGTGGCCTTCGAGCTTGATACGAAGCGTAAATACTACGTGAGCTCTAGTGGGAAGAAGCTCCACTTGTTTCCAGAATGCCCTGGGCGTTTCTCCCGCTTGCGCGAGTATCAGGTTTGTGTCACTTGTGCAGGACGCTTGAGCAATGCACAGAAGTCCTCAGCAACTTCGTCTTCCGCTTCGGCAACGGGACTCGAGGCCAAACCTTTGTGGGGACAACAGGCCCGTACGCAATCCCAGTTGGATCCAGCTGCTGCCATTTCCTGCCGGCCTTACCCTCTTCCTCTCTGTGAGGTTTGAGGTTGGGGTGTTAGTGCACCTTGTCCCTCTTCGGAGGTTCCTTCATCACGTCGGAAGAGGTGCCCCTTACGGACAAACGCCTGAGCCAGATCCAAAACGCAGCCGCAGGGCCGCTCTGGGCGGCTTTGACCAAAGGTCAAGGGCTTCCGTTTCGCAGATCCTGGCGCACAATTGGAGGGTGCGTTGGGGTGTGATTCGCTTGGAAAACGATTTAGTCAAGACCCTGTTGGACGCCTTGAGCCAACATCCGGAAGAGAAAGCACAGTTGGTCAAAAACCTAACAAAACTGCCAGAGGAATCTGAGGAGGAAGAGCAGGAGCCCCCCGGTCAAGAGACAGGGTTCTCCCCCTCCGCGGAGGTTCGTACGTCACCATGACGCGACCATGGCAGTGGCAACCTCAGGCCACGCCACAGAGAAAAATTTTGTACTGCGACTTCGGCAACTGGATCCACCCCCGAGGCAAGTTCTTTGGGACGCGTGGGACGAGACATGGCCCTCTCCGGGGGAGAGAACTAGGGAACCCAAGAAGAAGGCCCCAAAGGCCCAGAAGCCCAGCATGCGCGATGCAGTTTGGGCTGCATGGAAGGACCTGCCAGATACGGCTGTAGAGACCTACGTGATGTGGATGGAGCCAGGACTATGTGCGTTTTTAGTTTTGGTTGGGTGTGAGTTGTTTTGTTTTGCTTTGTGGACGACAGTGGCACTTGGCAGACAGCGAGAGAGTAGGAACATCTTGGCAGACAGTTTTCCGAGATACAGAATCCTTGGAGTGCATGTCTGCTCGCATCGCCTTGGGGTGATGCAGACTACTTTGCAGTCGGGTGCAGTTTCCATGTTTTAGACATGTTGAGCCAAATTTGTGCATGTGAGTTTGTTTTGAGCTTGTGGAGATCCTCAGTGATGAGACAGGGCTGTACGAAGCTTGTGAAAAGCTTGGAAGAGTTCCTGAGAGAAACTCTTGTGGTCCCGTGACGGGAGACCCTTCTTTGTGTGTTTGAAGTTGCTCTGAGGGGATCTTGCTTGGCATGTGTTAGCATTGCCATCAGCTCAGCTTTTGTCTGGAAGCCTGCAAGTTGCTTCTAGTGAACTGGACGTTGCTTTGGCTCAAGGCACGAGTGTGAAAACGAAGTCCGCCCGTTGTGCTTGTGACTTGCAATAGTTGGGCTTTGGAACTGCAGCGAGTTTGCTTGACTTCGTGAACCGGAAGCAGCCTGGAGGACTGCAACTTTGTGACTGAACTCCTGGAACGGAAACAATGCGGGCTCAATGCCATCCCGACTTCCCCCTTTGCGCCGTCCAACCTTGAACAAGTGTTACGCGAGCAAATCGACCGGGCCCGCGGCGGAGAGACAAACCTGCCACCGTCAGCTGCGGCATCGCTGGCGAAGCCCCAGCGCTGGGTATCCTCTGCTCGATGCTGGAACTCAGCCACAGCCGGCCTGTGCAAGCAGCCACACTTCCTTATTCAAGCGGCCGGACTAGGCGATCGGCCAATCAACATCTCTCTTAGGGCCGCTTCGCAGCAGGGCTGGAAGACGGTGGGAAACCTGTAGGTGGGTCAGCGTGCCAGAGCGGCCGGAGGCCCGCGCACGCATTGGTCAAAGCTACGAGATGTTGTTCTTACTTTCGGGCATGAATCAGAAAGAATGCTCGAATTGGCTTTGTCTCCCAGTATGAAAAGGTTGTCACGCAAATTAAGGCACAAACCCCGGAAATGACTTGCTGGAACAATCGTCACACCCTTGGTGCCTCGGAAACATACCGCAGCTTTAATCCGGCTGATCCCCCGCTGAATTCCTGACGCAACGATCATGCTCAGGCCCAAGATAGAAATCACGAAGAAGGTCAGGAGGAATCGGCCCCAGCCGTAGGAAAACGTCCGCGCAAAAGTTGCTAGCAATCCCGGCGAACTCACCCGGTTTGGCAGCCGCTCTGCTCAGAGGTGCAGTTCTATGGGCGTTACAGCCAGAAGGCGTTCTGCCAACTAGTCTGGGTCACAGCCATACCAGGGGTAACCCCCAGACGTTACGAAGAAAAGGTCAGCAATGTGCTGAGCGGAGGAAAAAAAACCAGCCAATGATGGACTTCTGCAAACTTTCGAGCGCAAGGCCTTGGCAGCTCCGGGAACATGTCCAGGCTGGCGGCCAGGCGCAGCAGAGGTTAAATTTGGGCGTATGGATTCGACAGAAGGGGCATGTTGGGGGTGCATCCCGTTACCCTTCGGCGAAGGGGGCTTCGAAGCCTTCGAAGCCTTCGAAGCCTTCGAAGCCGAAGGATTAAGCTGAGTATTGATAAGCGGTATCTAGAACCATGTTTTTCAGCATATGGAGTCTCAAAAGGTTCGCGCGCAGTACCAGATGTGGCCAGTTTGTTGGAGAAGACAGGACCGGCGCTGACGCCGGAGGCATATTCACGCTTCAGGCGGACCTTGGGACGACTGCTGTGGTATGCACAGACGCGGCAGGACATAAAGCCCATGCTTACGCTGATCGCGACACAACAGAGTAAACCTACTTCAGCAACCGAGCCTGCTTTGCGAGCCATCTTGCGTTTCCTGAAGGGCGATGAACACATCATTCATCAGGTTCCATCACCAGGCCTGAGCAGTGAGTTCTTGAGCTGTGAACATGAAGAGCTGTTGACGAGGGTTCATGTGTTCGCTGACGCTTCATACGCACCGTACCGATTCTTGGAGCGACGAGGTGACAGGTGGAGCAATCTGCTTTGCTGGAAGTGCAGTCCGGTTGGTGGCAAAGACTCAAGGAGTCGTCTGCCTTTCATCCTGTGAATCGGAGTTGCATGCGTTGCAGTTCATGGCCCAGGAGTGTGTAGCCTTCATGCACAGTGTGAACTGACAGCGATGATCAGTCCTTGAGTGGTGCTGTGTCCGAGATGCTCACGGATTCCCAGTCAGCCGTGGCTTTGCTTCAAGGTGAGGACATCCCTCGCCGCAGTCGTCACATCGAGATCAGGATAGCTTGGCTTCGTGAGCATTTGAATCATTTGAAATCAGGGAGAATCAGACTTAAGTGGATCAGCGGGACGGATAACCCAGCTGATTTGATGACAAAGTGTCTCTCCACGAGGATTCATGTGATGCATCGTGAATGTCTGGGCTTTGTTGCTGAGGCAGGGCATGTGAGTGCGTTGTTTGATCTTGCTCAACTTCATGTGCAGAAAGAAATGAATACTCCGAAGGTCGTTGCGCTCTTGGAAGTTTGCTGCAGTGTGAACTCTGAGTTGTCACGTGATTGCCATGACCTCAAGGTTCCTTATGTAGGAATCACCGACAATGCAGAAACCAGCCGGGTGCTGAAAAGCAGGCTGCTAAGCACCACGTATCTACACCTTGCTCTTCAGGCTCTCCACTCAAAAGGTTCAGTGAGAGCGTGACACATGCTGATCCTTTGAATTGCCCTACTACAACAGCATATGGAGCCGTTTTGGGATTCAAAAGCTGATGAAAGAGGCTTCCCCGTCGTTCAGCTCGTGCGTGCATTTGTGCGCCACTGGCATGACCTCAAGATCAGGAGTTCCAGTTGGAAAGCAACTGTGCTTCGTTTCTTCGCGTCAAGCTTTTGCACAAACCCTAACAAACCTGTTCGGAACTTGCCGGTGTCATGTACATGCGAGTTTTTCGGATACAGACTTCACAACAACAGGCAATTACAACAAAGCCTTGTCGAGAGGAATCATCAAAGCGATGATGAGCACTGCTTAAAAGGGGGTCTCTGCTTGCTGATTTGTGCGCGTGTGTGGGTGTCTGCGTTTTCTTGTGGTGTACTTGGCATGTGATTTGATTTTCTTGTGCAATGAGTTTTGGTCACAAGTTCTATACGCCGATGTCATGATGAAGTCATGTGAGGAGTTAGCGGAAGATTCGCGCAGCATTTGAAACGTTCCTGTGAATCGTTGAGTAGTTAATCGCTTTGATGGAGCCATGGTTGTGTTGATGCTCACGATCGCTGTATGTCTGGTGTTCACGATGAAGACTGGGGCCACGCAGACCGAAGCGTCTACCTGGCAGATGGACCTGGAAGCGATTGAGGGCGTCATCTATGGCTTGACACTACCGTTTTCACGAGCAGATCCCGTTCTGGATTATGATGATGGTGATTTTCGCGAATGGTTTGATGCTGGGTTTACTGGCAGCTACATGTTTCTTCTTTATGTCTTCGAGAGTCAATGGACATCATGACTCGGGACATGACCATTTCAACCGTGCAACTGAACTGGTCAATGGACAACCTATGCAGAAGCAGATGGCTGGAGAACCTTCAGTCACGACTGCGAGTGAGTCAGGTGATCCTCGACCTGATGGAAGTGAAGCCAAGGGAAGAGGAGCATCACATTCTGTGAATAAGAAGGCTGATGTTGTGCTGGATAGACCCAATGAGAATCTGTTTTGGCGCAATCGTCACTTGAGAAAGATTTTTATCTTT